AACGTCTTGGTGCCAGAAACCACAGCACACCTTCCAAGGTCTAGTGGAGCCCATGCCTCAACGGGTCAGGGCTGATTTGGCGGCAAAATGGGGATCTACACAATATTAGGCAAGTGGTAATAATGTTGTGGTTGATCGGTGTATATGTATAAGGTAAGGTATACTTTTATTGTCACGTACACATACATGTAGCGAAATTCATTCTCTGCATTTAACCCATCCCTCAAGGGAGCAGTGGGCAGCCACTATGCAGCGTCCAGGGACCAACTCCAGATCTGATCATTGGTCAGTGGCACTGACTAGAGAACTTTTTTGAGGTTTTTGATGGAAACAAATATGTTATACATAGAGGTGGAGTAGGCAGAGTTGGAAGTGAAGTGTGTGTGTGTGTGTGTGTATAATATATATATATATATATATAAATAAAGGGTTGTATGTGCAGTATAAACAGAATATGTACAGTTGATTGTGTATAGATGTGGAGTTCTCAGATCATGGCCAAAATATGGGTGTAATAAGGTTCAAAAATGTCTGGGTACCAAGCCACCAGGCTATGGGTAAGAGCCATAATAAGAAACAGCAATATGCAGATATAATATGTGGTGGTTAAAATGTACTGTACGTTTTTAGGATATTCCTTTACTTCTATTTATTATGTCTTCGCCATAAGTGTGAGCAAGACAGTTTTTGGACAAGATGAGACAACAGATAAGAATTGATCTCACTAACCTGTACTAACTTTTTTTCATAGTAAACCTGTGAAATAGAGCGTACTCATTGGTCTTTCAAAGACTTTACAATCCCTTGGGATGAATTTTGGAAATCAGTAAAAGGGTGCAACTGCACTAATGATACAACATGCAACTTTTTCATTTTAAAACTTAAAATGGACATAATATATAACAGCAGTCTGCTGATGGCGTTTATATGTCAATCCTTCCATTGGCCTTTCAGTGATGTTTGGAGTGTTATGGGCTGCTTCTTCAACAATTGTGGTTTCATGGATGGTGTATCTAAGCCCAACTGCCGCGGCTTCCTTCTGCTTGTTTTGCAAAAGCCACTTTGGATGCCTTATACCTATAGACCTTTGCTACATGTTATCATTCAAGTTATTTTGGCTTAATGAATGGTTTGGCTTGTCAAGCGTGCTTGATGTTGAATGGTTTGTGTGGGCAACCCAAATAAATCAAGGTTGCTCCAAAACAAATTCAACAAAGAAAATAGGCCTTTACAATAATGAAAACCAAATCCAATCAAAGAAGCAAAAGTCATATAAAATGACAAGCAAACTTAAATTATCTAGAGGCCTGTTCAGCGGTTGAGAACTGTCTCAGGTAGGTGTCTCCTGCCTCCAACTTCTCACACCTGTCTCTAGTAATTGGCTGGGGCAGCGTGTGAATTGCAGTCCTTTCATTTTCTATTGTCGACAGAGGCCACCACTAGGTGGTAATATTCTTTAACTATTTACAAAAAGCAAAAACTAAAAACTGGCTCTAATACTAATGCTAAATGCTGTTTCAAGGTGTACAGATGACAAGGTGACAAGGGCTGAATAAAAAACCTAATAAACAAAAGGTGAGGATGGAACAGACTAACAATTTGCATTTAGTATACTTAAATGCCTGAAAAATGTGACATACTTATTAATGAATTTGATCCTGGCGCCGCTGTCATGCTGCTTGCTTTAACTTTACCTGAGAGGTTTTCCCATGAAGACAGGCGACAGAGCAGGCGACAGTCCACCCTCTGCAGCGGTAGCCCACAGCGATGAGTTCTGTAAGATGTCAGCTGGGTCCGTGCCACCTGGGAAACTGGCGCATACATCCCAGAACAGCCCCCGGCCACTAACAGCCACCTGAAACACAGAAGAGACAGAAAGAGGCAAGAGGTCAACATCTGACATAGCACAACTAGTGAGCCTGAATTTGCAGCAGCATACATGGGTGCCCTCTATACCTGAGACATCACTGAGAGCCAGCCAGACGCGTTGGCATAGTCAGACGCGTTGTTTGATGGGGTGATGATAGCTGTGTGGAGTGTTGTTATGGCAGCAACGCAGTGAGGGAAGTCCCAATGAGACAGGAAGAGCTGGGCTGAATCCTCCAGCTCCTGCTCATTGGGGGGCCGCAGGTAGATGGAGCTGAGGAGTGCCACGATGGCATGACACATGTCTCTAACACACCTGCACACGGTGGACTTCCCCACACCAAACAGGGAGCTGATGGTGCGGTATTCAATGTTCGACGCCAGACGCCACAGAGCCACTGCTACACGTTTCTCCACCGGCAGCGCCAGGCGGAAGCTGGTGTCCTGCCGAGCCAGACGGGGCCTCAACTTGTCACACAGGTAAAAGAATGTCTCCCTGCTCATGCGGAACTTATCCAGCCAATCAGACGGCTGGAATTCTGTCATCACCACCCGTTCCCACCAATCAGTGCTTGGAGTGGTGGTCCAGGGACGTGTGCGGATGCGGACGTTGGAGCGGATCCCTCCTGCTATCATCATCTGGGGAGAAGAAGATCAATAATAAAATAAACATTTCCTCTAAATTAATTCACAGATTCTATCCTGCGAGTCACCCAAGTACAAAAGCTGGTAAAACCATTCATTCTAAGACTCAACCCATTTAATTGCAAACAGAATTTTCTCTTATATCTCTTAAATGGGAAAATGTTTGGTTTGCAGCAAGAAATATAATAGATCTCTACCTTATCAATTGCATTATATATTAAACTAAGTTGTATATCCATAAATTTAAATACCTTAACAATAAACTTTTTCCCCTGCTCTGGTTGGTGAAATTAAAAGCTATATCTTTGTTATTGCTTACAGTGCAAACATAAAATGTCAAAATCCATTTATTTGTATGTGTTTTATTTATTTTGTACCTTTTTGGTAAAATCTATGTAGTCCACTGCTTTATCTTTCTTGTTTGTATAACTGCAACTTGTCTGGTATTTTAAAAATTAATCTGCAACAATTTTGATAATCGATCATTTTAGTCAAAATATTTTTATATATTTTGGATTGTTAGATTTTTTTAACACAGTGCCTGGATATTTTACCCCAGGAATAGGATCATTTAAAATAAGTGGTGTACTTTTTTATTACGGTAAGTACTGTACCTGTATATTTCTACTCCACTAAAGTTCAAGCGGAAATATAGTACTTTACTTTCACTAGCTATTACTTTAGTTATCAAATAAATATTATTTAGTACATAGTAAAAAAAAAATAAATAGCCTTCACTAGCTGCAACATTAAAGTCAGAAATTAATACATCATAATTATTTCAATTAATTAACAGTTAAACAAATGTATATTTAAGTACAATTATAAATGCAGGACTTTTACTTTTTGTACCAAGGTATTTCTACACTACACTGGTATGTGTGTGTGTGTGTGTGTGTGTGTGTGTGTGTGTGTGAGAGAGAGAGACTGCAGACCATCAGCATCCTTCGCTGTCTTTGGAAGAAGTACTGCCGGTGTCTGATGCGTCTTTGGATCTCATTGCGCCTCTGAATGTTCGCGTTGTTTATGTCCCTCCTGCGCTTCAGCAGCATGTATGTCATGAGGAACATGAAAGACCGCAGCTGCTCCTCTTCTTCCATTTTGAAAAGTTCAACCGGAAGCACGCAAGACATTAATTTATGGAGATGAAAGTAACGTTTAGCATGATAGCAAGCAGCTCAGGTGTTGTTGCAGCTATTGTCTTTTCAGCGTATGCTGTAAGCTACTGTACTTCCGCTTTCTTCCTGTGTGTCTGACTCTGTCTGAGTGGTGCTGCCATCTAGTGGCCGGAAACTAAGCAGCGCTTGAGAGAACATTTAAATGTGTTCGAAATTTCTAATATGTCACATAAATAGGCCCGCTCCTGCCTTCTGGTGAAAGGTATACTCCGATCTAGCACCACCAGACTGGCAAACACCTTTATACATCACGCTGTCAGGAAACTGAATTATCTCTCCTTCATCTCCTCATAAATTGGACAGTTATTGCAAGAAATCTGAAATCTCCTTTTCAGGCACTGTCACTTTGCACTTTTCTACTAAACCTGCTCATTACTCATCCTGTAGATGAGTCATTACTTTGAACATTGTACAGTCTCCCACATCCATTAAGCTATTTGCACTACTGCATGCACCACATGAGTTGTGTGTTTCATATGTGTGTTCCTCCCTCAACTTCAAGGATACCTTTGTTTTAGTACTTAATTAGTTATTTTACATTTGTTATATTCTCTGTTGTTTGTGTGTTATTGTTTTACACCGGAGGACCGAGAAACAGCATTTTAACCCTGTGTATGATCTGTACATATGGCAGAATTGACAACAAAATTCATTTTGACTTTTTACTTTGACTTACTCTGAGACACAAGTAAATGGAGGTTGGCCTTCATTGATTTATATTGCTGTTTTAACATTTAGTGTAATTGACTTAAATACAAAATGTGCTTCACATCGAAATACAGCCATTTAAATGTTTTCCAGTTTTAGCCTAGATGTCTTGTCCACTTTCGGCCTGCAAATCAGGAACAATTTATCTTGTATGAATATAATATTTTCATGTTTTAATTCTCTTACATGATATGCATTATGTTCATCAGTGCCTTGCTCTTTTTAGGCTCTCTGAAGTCTTGCTTCATTTCATTCCTTCAAGAGGTGTAGTTCTGCTCAGTCTCTTGTAACTTGACCAAACCCACAACCTTCTCTTCCTTTCAGGACTGTTGCTGGGAAAGGATGTTAGCCTCTTTTGTCTCCTTGGTTTTGGTCTGAAGGATGTCGCTCATGTGTCATTAATCCAGGGTAATGAGAAGAGAATTCTATTTTATTCATTGTTATCGCTCTCATCTTTGCTTTCTCTCACCTTCAACTGTCTGTAAACTTCTTTCTTTTGCATCAGTTTCTCAGTGTTTGGAAATGTGTGACATGGGCACTTTCTCTGCCTTTCTGCACTTTCTCTGAAGGCAGACTTCAGCTAAGGAAACAGGTTCAAATAAATAAGTTAACACAGCTATTCTATTTATTCCCCATAATATTTTCTGCTACGATGGGACAAAATATGCGATTGGCTCCTGTCAAACTGGGTAACAGTTTCTAATAATTGGTTAACAAAACACTTGTATTACATGATTGCATAAGTATAATGCAATACAACAGCATTACAAATTACAGCTGCCAAAATGATCAACATCCCTCTCAACAAAACATGAAAATGACATGTCAAAAAAAGGAGGATTTACAGGGTTGTTGTATTGGAGTGCATTAGATTTAGATCAATACAGACTGCTTTTTTCTAATCCGAGCATTTCATGTCAAAGGCTAAATAATGGAAACAGTCAAGATAAATATAGATCTCATTGAACACATTTAGTCTAAGGAACTTATTGTCCTTCACACAGCAATGTAGCTGCTTGCTCAGTCACAGCAGATGTTGATTTCTCATCTCTTCCACAAGTTCAATAATAGACATGAAATGTGTTTTACAATTTGTGTTTATCTTCCCAAAGTGTCAATGTCAGTCTTGAGAGGTGGAGATATGTTTAAAAAAGTAACAGCAAGAACTAATATAAAAAATAGATGTTAATCTTATCTGTTAAAGGGGTAAACCTATGGAATAATTGTGACAAGGAATTAAAATTGTGTACTTCACTCTGTAATTTTAAGAAAATGTTTAAAAACAAGGTGATAAATAATTATATAACTCAATACAATTAATTTGTGTAGGCTTTATGTCAAATATTGAAATAATATCTGAGATGTGTACCACTGTAATCATGTATGAACATCTTGGAATCTTTTTTCCCCTTTTTTAATGTAACTGTACGTTTATTTTGAATGGATTAAATCCAGAGAGAAAAGTGATGCTCATTAGATAATTATGTAAAAAGGGTAGGCATAATAAGCATAGGCTTCAGTTGTTATGCATGTAGGCCTATATATTATGTGTGAGAACCAAAATAAATTTTGTTGATTGATTGAGAGGAAGTAATAGCTGTGAGGGTTCTACTTTATTATTTCTTGTTATATAGGCCTAGGTGTAGTTTAGTAGCTATTTAAGCGGCAGTAGAGGTTACAGAAGGTACACACAAGGTGATTATTTACTCTAGGATATAATGTAAGTTGCTGTACATTCATAAATTATGAGAAAATGGACACGAAACCTAGGACACAACTCTCACTCGAGTGATAAAGAGCTCCGCCGCTGCATTCTCAAACTCTTTTGCATCCATATTACCACCCGGGCCCTGTGTCTGTGCTCCTGCTATGGCCTGTGCTAGCTTGTATGGAGAGATCTTGGCACTGGCCTCAAGGTAGCGTATAGCCTTCGCGTTAGCCTCCAGACAGGAATTAGCTTTATAATTTGCATTAACACAGCAGTTTCCATCACGGCCTTGGGAAGTCTCCAGGGCTTCCTTTAAGGTCCCCAGCACGGCCAGACACAGTGCCCGCGAGGCAGGCCTTTCGTCCGGGCAGCACACTTCAGCGTAAAGCCTTTGAGCCTGTCGGATGTAGTCTGAGAAAACTGCACATGTGAGCACGCCGTGACGGAAGACATCATAAGGGACAGCCTCGTGGTCTTGGCAGTGGAGGCGTCGGAGGAGCGGAGCGGAGGTGGAGGCAGGGACTCCACCCTCACTGCACAGGCACTGCAGTGTCTGCGTATAGAGACCTCCCCTCACCCCTCCTCCACCTCCGGTCGGGCCGTCATTGCAGGAGCCATGAGGGCCTTCAGGGACCTCATCTGGACGTCTGTGGGGCCCGGTGAGGTTCAAAAGGTCATAGGCCACGCGGACGTTGTTGCTGAAGGCAGATCTGGGTTTTAAATGGGGGATCGGATAAAAATATATATATATTATAAAAAATATGTCAATACACAGCTTTAATATCAATATCAGTGAATGATGACAAAGGATCGTTGTTTTTAATAGAGGTATAATGTATATATTATCGTTCTATTTTTTAGTCATTTGTTATCAAATAGCAAGGTCTGAGGAATATGCAGAGTAGGGATGTGTTTCTGGAGACAGATGTTGAGATGTTCCTTTTGTAATTTGGGTGAACTGACCCTTTAATTTGCACAAGCACTTTGGCATACCAGATTGTCATCTTTTATCAAAGGTTATAGAAGGTGGCACTAATGGCTAATTAATAGCAAATGTATTGTTTACACATGTTTAATAGATCTGGAGCTGGAGCAAATCCCAGCCGACATCGGGCGCAAGCCATTTTAATACATTGTTAAAATATTTCATTTGGTCCAGATGATCTGCAATTCCTACAAACAGAGGTCAAACAGTCAACCTGGCAACCCAAAAGTTTTCTTATCTATGGATTATAACTGTTCTATTAAACATTAATAAATGATTTACTAACTATTAACAAAGCAATTAGTTACAGCTTATAAACATGTTATAAAAGGCGCTTTAATAGAAATTGGTACTGAGTTGTTCTGCTGAATGAGTGAGGCGACATGTTGCAGTGTGTTATCATCACGATTTTCTATTACATAATACAGTATATTACGCATCATAGAATTTACTCCATTATAACACCATTGTCATTGTGGATAGGCCTGCATATTGTGATAGTATGCTATTATGAGTAACTCCAAAACACCCAGGCCTAGTCATTATCACAAATTAATTACACATGTTGTTATATCTTTATAGTTTTCACAGTGACAGTAAGGGACGGCTACAACAGAGGAGCAAAAGTGAAAGTGATCTTAAAGCACACTGTATTAATGTCAGACTAGAGTCTACTAGAGTTATTATAGAGTTATTATTATTATTACCAGACATCCAGCCAGGGCTGCTAAGCAAAATTATGACTAGATGAATTATTTAATGTCTACCACAGTGAGAGCCTAATATATGATGGTTTGATCACTGATTCTATAAAAAAATAAATCGCTTCATTAGTAAGAAGTCAAGAGCTTTGCCTCTGGGAGTGGTGTGCCAGCCGCAGGTGCCACAGTGCCCGGTTTAGATGCTGCTGCTCCTGCGCGCCTGCGCTGAGCGGGCCGTTGATCAATTGATCCCCGTCTCCACATCCAGCTGTGCCAGTTTCTGTCACGGAGGCGAGGTTGCAGAAGTGGTCGGCCAGGAACCCGATGGGATCGTCCGATCTAGCCTCGACCATCTTCAGGATGGCCCCGCGGAGCAGTTCTCCCACCCCAGCCTGCGACAGGAACTCCCTGTCGCTGTCCGATTTGGTGGCTTTGCCCTCGAGCATCCCTGGAGGAGTAGCCCCGGACCGGCGCTTCTCCTTGTCCGCCATTGCTTATGACGTGATGAAGCCGTGATCGGAGCAGCAACGGCAGCGGAAGTGATTTAAGAGCGAGTCGGGATACAGGAAACGGACTAGTTTAATGCTTAAGGTTTATATAGGTGATCAATAAATAACCATGAATATCCGAGGATTTACAACGAAAAGGCCCAAAGCAAAAGACCCGCATAAAAACCCTCATCACCTCGACCTCATCTTACGGTATGGTTGCCATGGACGCTCTGTGCGTCAGATAGCATGAGCAAGGGCGTGCGTAGCATGGATGTATGATGGTGTCTGGGTCCCCAGAGCAAAAGTTAACACTACTACCTGGCCTTGCTATGTTGAATCAACCCTCTCCCTTGAGCCCCACATCCGTCATGTCATTAAAACCTCCTTCTTTCACCTTTGCAACATTGCCAAAATCAGACCCTCACTCACACCCTCTGCTGCTGAAAGACTCATTCACGCCTTCATCTCCTCACGGCTGGACTACTGCAACTCACTACTCCTTGGTATCAGCTCAACCTACATAAAAAGACTCCAGCTGGTCCAGAACTCTTCCCATTTCTCACCAGATCACATACAAAATCCTGGTTCTTACCTACAAAGCCATACACCACCTGGCCCCTTATACCTCACTATCCTTCTCTCCCCCTACCAACCCTCATGGTCCCTCAGATCCACCTCAGCCGGTCTCCTCTACGTCCAGGCTCCGCAGTTTTGGGGACAGAGCCTTTTCCAGGGCAGCTCCCAGGCTCTGGAACTCCCTTCCCCATGAAATCCTCAACATTTTCCAGTCCCGCCTTAAGACCCATCTCTTCACCTCTGCCTATCCCTAGCCATTTATTCATTTATTTATTTATTTTATTTTTTGGTCATGTTTCTTTTTCTGCTCTGTAAAGCGACTCTGAGTTTGTGAAAAGCGCTATAAAAATTCAATTTATTATTATTCATTAAAAAACAACCACAAAACTGAAATAAAAGTTGTTTTGGTGGTGCATAGTTCTGTTTTCTATTTAAAGATAAAATAACCCAACTGGATATTTTGTATGCTTTCTTTACCTTATAATACCAGCCGTGGTTCCATGTATAGTTGGGCATAATTTGAAATGTGATCCTGGTGCAGATAGCCTACAATACCTGAAATTCAATACCAAACCATGATTTTTTTTCAATAAGGTATATAGGCTATTAAAAGCTATATTTCTTAAATTTAAGTATTGTCTGAACACAAGCATAAGTTTGCCTTAATACGATCCTCACCTTTCCAGTTCTTAAACCTTTAAATTGTTTGAACACGTATATTTTATTCTCATCTACTAAAGCTCTAACAAAAAAAAAAAAACTAAAAATGACAGCTGAAACCCTTATTTTAAGGTAAATGCACTTTTCAACAAAACATCAAATTGTGATCATTGTTAAGGAGTGTGGTTCAATAGCTCCTCAGCCTTCAAAGCAGTACTGACATGGGTTTGATTCCCACTTCGGCAAATAGGGTTAATTGAGCACAGCTTTGAACTTCACCAGAGACGTTACTTTACACAGCTGTGTGATGTTTGAACCTAATGAAGCCAACAAAATGATCAATGAACAAATGCAATCATTGTTTACATTGAAATAAGCTTGCTGTGTCTTCATTTTATCGTGCTAGACATCACAGAAAATATATGCACAAGCAAAACAGTGACCAGGCATTTGTGGTCATCGTGCAACAAGTGCATTTCATGTCACACATCTGATCAAAGAAGGAAGTTAAAAGCACTATTGAGCACTAAGCACTGAATCTCCCAGTGGTTAAGGTCTAGCCCTTCAGATCCAAAGGTTGAGTGATCAAATCCTAGTCACAGCATGTCAACCAAACAGTAAACCTCAACAAATGTGTTTGCTGAGCAAGTCCACGGCATATGATAGATTTTACCTGTAGGTGGCGCTACAGGATTTGAAGAATTGCTGAAGGAGCAGTAGTTTGCAGTGGTAGCAGACAAAGCTAACAGCTGGCAGCTCTCACAAGGATTTTCTTAATGCCCATTCTAGTTCAACATTGGTGTTCAATGGTGGAGTTCAATCCATATATAAACAAACATTCATTGTACATTAATAACCCATGTTTGTCTTTAAACAAAATAGTCGTACTACATCCATATTTTCTGTATTATATATATATATTTAGTTTCATTTTATTTTCACAGCGGCAAGATCAGTATCACATTTGCTGGTAAAACATTTAAAATATTCCACCCATTTAAGAACTTTACTGTACAATTGTATTTTACATTACACATGAAAAACCACATGAATACAGATATAAATACCATGAAAAACTAAAACAATGTATTTATTTTTTAAATATTCAACACAGTTAATTCTGCATAAAAGCTCTGTAAAATACATTGAAACAAAATAGCCTGCAGTGACCATTATGCTGTGTGGAGACTCAGATGACTCTGGTATAGAGGATTCATACTAAGTCCCTCCCCTTCCGCGGGGCCTTATTTCAGGAAAAAAAAACAAATGGTTTGAACTGTGTACATTGCACTAATTCTTATTACGAATATTTGCACAGTCTGTGTCAAATATCCTGTATATTCTTTTGCATATTTTTTGTATACTTGTACATTTTGGATCTCTTTACTTTTTCTATAATTATGTTTGTGTACTGTTCAGCACCTTTATACCAGGGCAAATTTCACCGTATGAAAATGTACCCGACAATAAACCCGACTCTGATGTTTGGTAGTCAATGGCGATAGCCTGCAACATCACACATCAGGTGAGATACATTTGTGCATGGAACATAGCTAAGTTACCTAGCTAGTAGCTAAACAGTTCGTATTACAGTGTTAACTTGTTGGTGTGACGTATATTGTGCGAGATGAGATATAGTTCAGTGAGTTACTTTACTGCTTTATGACAATCTGCGACTTTCTTGACTTACAAAAGTAGCTTTTAAATTGACTAACGTGATTCATGGCACCATTCAAATGGGATACCGTACATATTTTTACCGAAATAAGGCCCCATGGGGTGGAAGCAGAAGTGAGCGACTTAAGCTGATGATACACGGGGCAACTTTTTCAGAAATGTTGCTGGGCAATCTTGCTGGTGGAAAATCTGATTAAGTTTTGAACGGATAGTGATGGGGGAAGGGGATTACAGATGTAATCTTTACCCATTACCATTGACGGCAACATTGCCCAGCACCATTGCTCTAAAAGTTGCTCCGTGTATCAGCTTTAGGCCCTCTATAGGCTTATGTAGACTTTCTAAGCTATCAGCAGACAGAACTGCGTGTTCATACAAATGTTGCAGCACCATGCCTTTCTTTATTAGGCCTAGATGTGGTGATAATCTTACATAAAGGTCACATTGACTCTGCAAAGTTGTGAAACCAGTGTTACTTGATTTTGTTGTTTGTTGTTGCTTGATCGATGATTTTCAAACAAGGTATCAACTTTACAATACTATTATCTATCATTTCTGACTTGGGCTGTAGTGTTGTATTTGCGGTCATATTTCATGTGCTGCATCATCGGCATAAGCACAGATGCCATTTGTTAGCGGCACATGGTTTCTGTTGGTAAGGGCAACTTTTTTCAAAACAGCCACGTCGCCATTGGTATAGGGCGTATGTGGGGGCAGGAAGCTTTTCTGCAGCTTGTACTCCAGCAGCATGTGGTTCTGAGGAGGAAGGCCAAGGCATGCTCTGAAAAAGAGAAGGAGGTCAACTTGTGTCACTCAAAGCAACACAAGAATTGTACAATTTTCACTCTAGGTAAAGAAACCAAAGTCTTGTCCATACCTCATGATGTTTTCTATGCAGGCCCTCTGGCGAAAGAAAGCATTTATGACTGGGGTCCCTGATGGGACCAGGGGGGCCTTGCAAAGGAAGGAGAGCAGTGCTAAGACACTGTGGAAGGACTGGAAGTCCTCCTCCTCCTGGGGCCGGACAGTCACACGCTGGCAAAGCTCTGTCAGGATCACCAGGTCCAGGATGATTGGGCTGGCGAGTAAGGAGTCCTGTTGCAAAGACAGATGATGATGCAAGTATAATAGGGTAATACTGGGAGGAGGGAATGGTTTAAGACATTTGTCAATACATAGAACTCAGAATACTGCAGGTCCTTGCACATGCAGGAATTATATTTAACTATAGCAATGTCTTTTTTAAATATTACAAAATACAGTTATTTATTCCTACTTAAAAGCCACTATGGGCCGGATTTACTAACATCCCGAATAAGGAGCACTAAATTGCATGTGCAATTGTTGTACCTGGCGATCAACTAAGAATTATTGCGTAGATGAAAACAGGTGGAAATATTTAAATGAGGGTTTTGCATGTTTTAATGGTTTCTGCCATGGAGAGGAAAGCAGCCACCGTGTAAAAACCTTTGTTTCATTGAGTGCGTCCCGAATATGTGCAAATCGTATGTATCTGCCCATTCTGCCTAAGATAGCACTAAGTACTTGGGACAGCACATCTGAAAAGCTGCTTTGGTAAACTCCATCAGAAACAGCTACAGTATGCTGGAATGACCCAGGTGCGAGGAAATGCCTGCAGATTGTGCTTCATCCAGGCAGAGGGAACGATCACACCGTGCCCGGTCGCTCTGCGACACCCTGTACACCCTAACGCCCCATTCCCTCTCAGATACCTACGATGGATTGTGTCGCTATTACACCGGCGCACTGCAGCTGGGGGCTCTCTGCAGTGCCATGCAACTTTCTAAATTCTTCCATCTCTTCCAAAAGAAGTCAGGTCGAAACGAAATTTGCTGGATTGGCATGACATAAAAATAAAATAAAGGAAAAAACCCAGTTCAATTAATATAGTTCATCAAATAAATAAAATTGTATTTCTATATCTTGGATATACAATAATATTATCTAATATTGTTAACTTCTTTCATTACGACTCCTTCTCGCAACATACGAACAGCAGCCATCTCTGTGCAACACTTGGCAGTTTGCACCTTCCTTTCAAATGTATTAAATACATCCTATTACTTTGCACAATAAAAATTCCCCAAATTACATATTCATTAAGGCAAAAGTACTAAATAAACAACAGGTGCAATCTTTTCACTTTTGAAAGATGTCATTCTGCATGCATACCGCATAGATCAGCTTACATGTTAATTTGCTAGTGATATCAAGTGTGCAGACGTTTTTACTCATGCAAACCTTTAGAAAATCTCGTATCACATTTTTGGTAACTGCAGAATCTTTCAAAATGATTGATAGTTTGTTTATAGAAAAATGGGACAATCCCAGTGAAATCTCATGGCAAATCTATTGTTTTCAGACCAGTCGCGTCAGTGCAGCTGTCTGCTATTTTGTCTTCTATTTTTTATTTTTAAATACTACCACTGGGGGACACCACTGTTGGCACATAGTAGCTTTAAGTCCATTTCACTTACAAAATACTTAAATTTATATATTTTCTAGACAAGTAATATATTAAAATAAAATGTATAAATATATATTTTGTAATGACATAATCGAAATTGATGTAGTTTGTCATGCAGATTAAGTGTGTAAACAAAACAGAATAGATTAATTATTTTGTGTGTAGGTATGGTGTCGGGCAAGAGCAGCCTTGACCTGATGATGTCTCTTTAAATTAGCTCCAAGACTTGTCAAGAAGGATTAAGAGTAAGCTCTGGCCCTCCCGAGTCTCCTCCTCCCCAACTGCAGTCAGATAAAGCAGAATATCTCTGAATGTTGTGTTTAGCCAGCAATTAGCATTTGGACATCGAAAATTGCTCCAACATGCCAGATTTGCCTTTGTCAGTTGCAAGTTTTACAGAAACACGAACCTCACAGGTGTTGTGCAGTGCGATAGTGTTCGTCCCTCCCATCATTATTTCCGAAGTGTATTCATCCATGGCACGCTTGCTGTCTCCCACATAGGGGACATACTTAATCACCACCTGAAATAACACACAAACAAAGTTAACACATCTGATCAGTTGTTTTCTGTGAACAAACATTCACATGAAGGTCATCGTCTCTCTGTGTCCAGGTTACTCACACAGTGGTCTGGTTTTTCTCCAGGCTTGTACAACACACGGTTTGACTCAACCATGTCATCCACCACGTTGCTCTTGGAGATCTCTTTGGAGCGGAACTGCTCCGGAGCAGACAGGTTCTTGCCATCGTTGTTGCCGAGGTGATTGTAGCTGACAATGGAGGCCGGCTGTCGAGGAGGAGAGGAACTCAATGTTTAGAATTAAAGGCACTGGAAGTTTGTAGTTTTCATCTTATTTTTTATATCGTGTGGTAGGATGATTACAATGTTACTCTTCCTGAGTTTTCCTTAAATAATCCATGTGTCTACGTATAGAGGTTGTTGTATGCTGTACAGATTGTAAAGTCTTTTGAGCCTGTATAAATAAAAGTGACTTGACTTAAGTTGTTAAATATATTCCCACTTGAAGAGTTCAAGTGTAACACAGTAGTTTGTGGGACCAGTTTCATTTCTTACCCTGAAAATGATAAAAGCACCATGTTTGAGGTCTGAGGTCAGATCTTCTCTGACATGCTGATGAGTTAATTCTCACATTAATTCTGGTCTTAGACAGGAAGCATCATTCTCAAATCATTAACCCTACATTCTAGTGTTCTTAGCTTTTCTTGTATATAACCATATTAGCAGTGACTCAGAGTAATAAGTATCAGATCTTATATCTTTACCAATTACCTTCCTTCAAGCAGTGCATCCTTTCTCTCACCTTGATACCTGAGCTGACCAGAAAGTCCACCAGCACAGACTTGATCTTGGTCTGACCGGATTTGAAGTCGTCTCCTCCAATGAACACCCCTTTCTGCACAGCCAGCTCTATGGCTCCTGGTACAAACGTGTTCTGTGGGGAGCCGTTGATGAAGGCACAGTCCTCCAGTATGCTGGCCACTGCAAACAGAGTGGATGGAGAAACCTCGTGTCCAGCCTAATGGATTTGGGGTGGGGGTGGGGGGGAGGGTGGGGGGGGCTGTTACTGAGTGTATCATCATATTACTGAAGAAAGCTCAACTCTCAAGGTTACATTTCCCCTGAGACTCTTCTCACATTGCCTCTGTAGCATAACTCTATTGTCGACTTCTTGCTTAAAATTGAGCTATTCGCTGAAGATCATAAGTCTGTGAAATTGACTATTATCATTGATGACAATCAATCACCCATGGACAAATCATAATTTCCCCCGATCTGATATAAAAGTAATAGCTGACTGTTTCAAACTCATTACAGCATTTCATCTACAAATCTACAATAAAGTTAATATTTTCTTCCTCTAAGCTTTATTAAATCACTAAACAGGTTTGGTCCTCAGCATTAGAAGGAAATTAAAGTTGATCGGATGATTCATGACAACTGGCCACCAACAGAATTTCGAGGACTTAAAGCCTTTCATACTTCATCTCTATTGAAACCAACTTATGGATTTGTGCTTTTAGATCTTGCACTTCATGTTTAAGAATCTGAATTCTGAATGATCTCTTCATGGCTCCTGCTCTCACCTGGATTGTAGTTAGCAGGTTCTTTGCGCTGTCATTGACCCCCGGTATGATATCACAGAAGCGCTCAGTGTTGGCGGTCCACAGAACAATGACTTTGTCCACACCGCTCGACTGACGGAAATCCCTTATGTCAGCTCTGATCTGCTCCACCTGGAAGACCATTTACTCTTTAAGCATTTCTTTTAAAAATGACATCCGAAACAATACAATCTAAGGTGGAATAGACCGAGCATTACCTGCCCTGCCATGGTCCCGGTGAGGACGTTGTCTGCCCGATTCTCTTGGTTTGCAGCAATGAATTCTGGGATATAGATGGACGGTCTGGGTTTCATGCGGCTCATATATGGCCGCAGCTGCTCTTGTAATGACCAGTCAAGTACCTGAGCTCTCTCCATCGCACTGCCAAGATCCATTGAGGAGATATCCCAGCCTTAAAAGACAAACACACTTCAAGGTAAAAAGAAAAAAAGTGCTGGATTCTTTAGATAGCTCACATTTTCCAGAACTAAAAGGAGCAAACGCTGACCTCTGCAAATTGCATTAGTGGACATAATAGGAGCACATATGTGGCCACCTCCACCTTGTGAAGGGGCTCTCTGGCCCCTGAAGCTGTCAGGGGGTCAGATTTTCCTGCGGTTACCTGACTTGACCGCACACACATACACATTTGTACGTGTACACATCTGTGTCAGGTCTGAGCTTGAGCAGACTATTGTCCATACCGTCAAAGACAATATCATTAGGGTGCACCATGGGTAGAAGGTCACGAAAGGGCACGCTGACTTCGCCCTCGGGCCCTGATCCAACACAAACAGTAGAACTCTGCAGGAGGGAGCCGAAGTAGTTTGCTTTCTGTGAGAATGTAGGAGAGAGAGATGATAAAGTGAGAAAAACACTGATTTCAGTCCCTCTAAGGAGGAATACATTTTTACCAGCTTTTAAAAGGTTTATTACAAGTGTGTTAAATCCTATGAACCAGAGACAAATGGCCAAAATGGGAATCACAAGGACAAGCTCGGAGGCAAAAATGTATGCCCATATAAGGGGAAATTCCCAAGACTACATCAGTTAAACCCTTAACGCTCTACTGAACATGTCAACATAACCAGCTTATAAGTCTCTACCAATCCACTGTGTGAATCCACTGAGAGACACCAGTGTGTCCCTGAGCTTAGCTTGACACTTAACCCCTAGTTGCTCCAGAGGCGTGCGACCTCTGACACAAATAGCAATTGTAAGTCGCTTTGGATAAAACAGTCAGCTAAATGAATAAATGTACCACAGGATAGGGTGTGCATACAATAGGCTGTATTAATAAAATCTGACAAGAAGGTTCTCTATAAGCTTGCTCATGGAAGCTTCAGGTTTTCACATCCTATAAAGTTATAAAGCTGACCAGTAGATTTCAGCGTTTTACTTCATCCAGGCAGCCAGTAGCTTGCATTCATTTCAGTACAGTACGAAAACTGCAGGAAGTTGCTTGAGATAGTTAATCCACACCACGAACATCAAAGTTACATAATCAAAGTTAGATTTGTTATCGTCAGAGTGAAGGGATTTATATATGAATTAACAAATCTGTCTCAAATACGACAAATTTCAGTCTTTGCTAAATGCTCTTCTGCGTTTTACTGAAGTGAATGTAAACCAGCAGCTTGATTCACTGTCCACAGAGTATGTGTACAGGCATGTTTGACTCACTCCACTCACCTTCACTCCATTCTTGGTTCTCCAGGTGAGACCCAGCTTGTTGGCTAGTACGGCTGCTGTGACTGTCGTCCCATTGTTGCCTCCCCAGCCCACCAGCATCACACCCAGGCGGGGCACACGCCGCTCTGTGCGAAACGTCATCTCAGTGGTCCGGGGGGTCAACTGTTTCACATATGGAGCAAAATTAGAGAGGAGACTAAACAGATGACACATACAGATGCATGTATGGACTAAAAAAAATGTAAGAGGGGTCCACTTACCGTTATGTTGTTGCCCTCTCTGTGCGCTGACGTGGTCTGGTAGTGATACTGCGCCACAATGTGTGCATCTGTGTACCTCACATTAGGGCTGTTGATCTGAATGTTCACAGACATGGCTGCAGAATCTGCAAATACATTGGTATGAAAAAAGAAAAAGAATTTACCCAAATTATTTCTCTGTAGGTGGAAATGTATGGCATTTAATTAGTCTTAAAATATAATGCTACACAGGTTGACAGCAGTGGCATATATGATCCATGTTGTTTACAATTACTAAGAAAAAAACGTAGACCCAATGCATAACTTAGTTAATGTCAGTGCTAGCAACTGCCTGTCTTCAATTCTGTCAGTGATCAAACCAAACAGCCAATCAAAGATGATGGTCAGTATTCAAAGTGACCAATCAAAGGAGCGGATCTGTCTATGCCATCCTCACCAAAGTCTCAAAAGTCAACTTGACGATCCTGAGCACTTGCGAGCGTGTAGGGAGGACAGAATTTGTGCACATGGAGCAGAAATACTCCCTCATGAGGATGGTTTTCTATGGGGTGTGACATAGAACTGGATTACTTAGCTAACTGATGTATTTATGTAAGCCAGCACCTGATGAAAAAAATCTTTCAATTGCAATTGTGTTGAAGGCAAGGGTGTAGAATTTGGTATGGACGGTAGGGGCGTAAACATGGATGACGCACTTCCTCTCGTACAAAAGGCTATGTTAACTTTCACTTATTTTACCATAGCAGTCCACAAAAATCTGCTTCTGGACAAATCTGAGATGAGAAATAAGCAATCCAGTTGCCGAATCTTGTATCTGCAAGGCCTAATTTAAAAGTTTGTTCCAACTTTCGGCACTACTGCACTGCTAGCTAACATTAGCTTGCGGTTTACTGCATACAACCCATGTTGCTCATTAGCCGCCAGCGTCTAGTTTACAACAAATGTTGTTCTAATAAACATACGTGTGACCAGCAACTTACTATATAAATAAGATGCCATTGTCATTTTCCTGATCTGTATTATTAATAATAATAATAATAATAATATCTATTATTATATACTGTTAGATATAATGCCAGTTAGTATGTCCGTAGTGTGGCCATTTAGTTATGCGATAGCTCATCAATTGTGTATGTATTTCTAGATCATATTAAGATTTTAAAGCTGGGGTATGCAAATTATTATTAAATTATTTCAGAATCATTTTTGCTCTGACACAAAAATGAAAAAACATCCTGTATCAGTGGTGCAGAACTGTAAAAAGCACAGTGCACCCTGCCCATGAAAATGTGTTTTGGGGGAGTGGCTTTTGATGGAGGTTTTATTTTACATTAGGCTACATCCACCAAAAGCAGCTATGCCCACTTAGGGCTGGGCAATAAAATAACAACATCGCAACATCATTTTCAACAACAATATAATAAATGTTCAATATATCGTCAATAAATATTTGCTTTGATTCATTTGAATCACAAACAAATTAGCACCTTTTCTATTAAAATATTTATTTAGTTGAAAAAAAAAAAAAAGAGGGCTGAAATAGATTAACTAATCATATTTGTTGAAAAAGATAGTAGTTTTAAATGTTCTAACTCAGACTTGTGAAGTGAGCCACTGTTTGGCATCAAGTGTTTGTCACATTCTGACCATAAAGAAAAGTTTAACTACATATTAACCATCTGGTTTCTTCAATTTTCACTCAGGAGCAAAAATCAGCCTTTAAACTTGAAAGAAATAATCATTTGACATTTATCGTGATAATTATCGATATCGAATGATATGAAATGTTTTTATCGGGATAACATTTTTGGCTCACCAATGACTCCTTTGGTTTAGCTTCTGTATACAGCTGTACTGTTTAAGCGTTTTGGACTTGGAGTGTTGCTGTACCTGGCTTGGGTCTCGGGGCATTTGGAGAACGTGATCCTGTGTGTAATGTGTAATTTGTGATGTGTCAGCGGGATTCACAGAATCCTCACGCTGACTACTAACTTTCATGTGAATAAAAGTGATTCACCTTCACAACAGCTGAGTGAAACAAAAGCTTCCTACTGTTTAGGACCAAATTATTTAGAAATATTATGGGGAAACTCTCAGTTATGGAAAACACAGCTCTTTACAAAACTGCATAGTTTTTGCCCTGAAATACAGGATATCAACAAACTGGGGACAGCTGTAGATGGCTTGCCATTTCAGAGCTTCGGCCTATTTATATGTAAGTTTTAAGCTAGCATTGCATAAAAATGTAGTGTGACCTCTGATATTACTATGCCTCTTATCTTCACTCAAACGAAGCCTGTTGATGAAAACCTCACTCCAAGAGATGTAACATTATGTTTTATTGGTTTAAAAAAAAAAAAAACTATATTGACGTAGAGGTCAGCTTGCTATAAGCAAAGCAACCATGGTAGTAAGCTATAACGTTGCTGCGTTATTAGGTGATAACTTGCAACATGAAGTCGCTACAGAGTACTACACGTCGCAAACAAGGAGTGTTTCACATCATAGCAAGTGCGCCACGATCCACGCGATTGGCTGCTTGTTGCAAGCGTTGTCATCTTTCACGCCCCATAGCCTACCATAATATAACTGTATAAAAAAACCTATTACCTACACCTCGTTGTTTTGCATTCGCGGATAATGTTGTGGAGGGTATCGCATCGCATTGCACAAGCCTGATTTTTTAAGTGCGTGGGTTTGGGATTAAATTGAACGCCATAGAAAATGCACTTTGGGTAAACGCTGCGTTTCGTCAACACGTCATTTCTAATTTAAGCAGCAGGAAGGGGCAAGTTATGGCTAGTCTTACATTCCTCCCAATTGACCAAACTGTACAATTCTTGTTAGCAATTCCTCTCAGACCACGTTGAGCTATTTCTGTCAATTAAAAACGGAGAAACAGATATGCAAATAAATGAATAACACGCATGAACCAAAATTAAACCCGGAAATTCTCTTACCTTGTGCACTTAAAAGAGGTAACTGTGTAGATATCTGTAAGTGACTTCTCTTAGATGAAGCGCTTCTCGCAGGCAGCTCTTCGGCTGTGTGAATGGAAGTTTCCAGTCCTTTTCGTCTAAAAGGCGCTTTTATTTATCCTCCCTAGTTCGACGTAATCGGCGCACATGTGCCAATCAGACTGCTCTGTCTCTCTTATGCAACCCTGAGGTTTCAGCACCGCGTGGCGACTGCAGCGAATGAATGGGTATGTGGCTTGTACACAGTCGGATTATGGGCGGGACGATCCTGCCGAAATACTCCATCGAATATTCTAGTATATGAGTTTCATATGCACGTGTTTGGCTGTCTTGCCTTTCCAGAAAGATACAATGTCTGTAAGGGGTTTCTCAATACCCAGAACAATAAAATAAGGATTTCTGTGACACCAGGGACACCATGTTATCCTGGGCCCTGGGTCAGTCTGCTGGAATAAGTGGTGTTGTTGGGATCTTGAAACGTTGGTGGCTTTTACACCTCCATTTAACTCTCCCTGCCCCCCTTCTCTACATCATTGAGCTACATTTTAAACTTAAGTTACTAAAGTTACACTTTAAACACTTCATTTCCTGTATTCTTGTTAAATGTCCAACTAATAACCAATTTCTGCCATTTCCACATAAAGGGGAACTCAAATTCAGGTGGCAGGTGACAATTCAAAATATAAAAATGTAATGAATTATAATGGGATGTGATGTGGGAGATTTTAACACGAATGAAAGGTGTTGGACCAGAAGCACGAAGAGTCCGAGATTGACGATGGTGACCTGATGCAGCCAGAACAGTTTGGAGCTCAACGCTCTGAAGAGTGTAGTGGAGATGGTCATGAACTTCAGAACTAGCCCAGCCCCACCCTCCCTCATCTTCCTGTGTGACTCCCAATAAAAGCTTTTCTGATTCTGAGTTATTTTCTGATTTTTAAGAAATCCTCAATGCTGAATTATATATTATACATCTAATCAAATATGTATTCATCTATGTATTCACCACCGCCCATCTAGCATTAGACCAAGACCGGTCTCGAGTACTACTAACTAACTATGACCTGGATGACTGAGAATCAGTCTATGAATACATGCAATCATAGACGTCTTGAGTACAACAACACTACAAGGCACCCGCCCCAAAGTCAGAGCAGGTGGATGATGCATTAAAGCTGCAGTAGGTAACTAACTTTTTGTCATATTTCCTAAAACTGTCACTATATCCTGACAGTAGTACATGAAAAAGATACAATCTAAAAAGTTTTCAAAGGGCAACTGGCTCCTGCTTGTGGTTTTGGAGGGCGGTGTTTAGTGAGTGATATGTGCAGCAGAGAGTGATGCCGAAGGTTTTGCATTGTCAATTTTTACCGAATGCTGCTTTAAAGTCGGGAATGATTGCATGTAGGGCTGCAGCTATCGATTATTTGAGTATTCTACATTTTATTACATAGATTCATCAGGTAAGAAATGGTTTTGCCTAATGACCCCGGTAGGCTACCGGGATTCAGCTGTGTACTCACTGTACAGCAAGTTTACACACAACTTAGAATTGTGTCTTACCCTTGCTAGCCTTCATCTCAACTAGCAATCATTATTCCACATGTGATCTGCAATAGATTGCTGTAACCACCAATGATAACGTGATTGTTTCATGTCCGCTCCGTGTACACTGTTATTGTTTTCTTTTAGCTTGAAATGATCACATAGGCTACTTTGGACACTTTCTGTCTTTTTCTCTGGCCTGTCTTTCTTCCTCCCTGACAATTTGTGCCATCACATCACGTGGTCTGCATAAGTAATCGTAACAGTAATCGTCCATGGAAAACAGTGAGCTGTATATAGTATATGGAATAAACGAAGCATCAAAGCAAAGAATTTTCATCAATGCTTTTGAGTCGTTTCAGCCCGAATAGCATGTAATATGATTGAATTTTGGTGGTGGGGCTATTTTTGATTAAATACAGGCCCAAATAGGAAGAGCATTTGCCACATGTGATACAAATTTTAACTGTAGGTAATAATATTGGATTTTTTTAAACAGCCTCTTTAGGATGTGTGACTGTTTATAACATTTATCACCGAAGAACAAACTTATGCAAATCTTACTACCTTGAAGCCTCGATGGATGTTGACCTAGGATGTAGGGTTACTGTTATGTGCCAAACAGGTTGGACCGTCCACTCAAGAGAAAATAAGGTACAAAAAGTTAGAATTTTTTGGTTAGTTTTAAATCTCCCCCTGTAGGAAGACCTGGTATGTGACAGGTGATGTGAGTGATGCCTTATACAACAAAAGAGCAATGTCACTTTTGAGCATGGGCTGTCAACAGTTCTGTCACTGTTATTTCATATTCCTACTTATGGACGCTATGCAATGTAGCAGCAGAATTTATTTTTGGAGATGATAAAAAAAGTACAAATATCAAAAAGCAAAACTATGTAGTGATATTATGTAAATAAAAAATAGTGATATGGTTGATATAATATGTCAGTGGGTGCATCTCTGAAGCTAGATTGTTGCAGTTATTGTTTTATAGTCCCGGAGGTTGCCGCTTGGGAAATCCTCATCTCCAGTTGAAATTACGTACACCTTCATGTGTCCTCTGTATGCAGGTGTCTACGTGAGGAATGATAAATGAGGAATGATACTGTATAAGAGAGAAGCCCTGTACACCTAACAGGAAGAGCATTTGCCACATGTGATACAAATTTGCTTTCAGCTGTAGGTAATCTTGATTGGATTTGTTTCTCCCAAAAGCCCCTTTAGGATGTGTGATTATTAATAACATTTACCCCAGAAAAACAAACAAACTGCAAATCTTACTACCCTGAAAGGTTGAAGGATGTTGACTTAGTCAGGGACTCAGGACTCTGCTAGTGGAATCGGGTTGCTGGATTACTGTTATGTAGCCTACCAAACAGGTTGGACCGTCCACTCAAGAGAAACTGTGGTACAACAAGTTTTACTTTTTAGGTTAGTTTTAAATGTCCCCATGTTGGAAGACCTGGTATGTGACAGGTGATGTGAGTGATGCTGTGTACAACACAAAGGCAGTCACGTTTGAAAATAATGGATAGTGAACTATGAACTATATGAACTAAGTGGCTGATACTAACTCATGTGCATGTTTAGCTCATTTGGTAGAGTGCAAGCCTCCCGTTTGGAGAGTTGTGTGATTGATCCCATCATCTAGCAGACTTTCCTTTTTCTCTCCCTTGTTTAACAAATTGATTATAAGGATACTTTTGCACATGCTCACAATAAAGCATGTCCTGCAGTGTGTGCGCGTCCCGGCGTTTGATCCGCATCGATAAACCTATGGACGCTTGTTTTCATTTCCCTGAGAAAATTCAAGAGAATCCAATCATGCGTTTACTGACGGCTTTCTCAGAGTTGTGTCAAGCAAGCCAGAGACTCTTTTGAATGTCCTTCAGAACTGTTCAAATAAAAGCTATCAATAAACTCAACATGAAGCATTGCTGCAAAAAATGTTCTTGCACTTTATTTTGTGGGCACAATCACTTAAGAGGATGTGATTATGTCAGTAACTGTTGCTGTAATGACTGAGTTCTGTTTCAGCACCAGCCACTATCAGTTTATCTATTTTAAATTTTTCTGCAATTAAAGCACTTTGGCTGTGGGCCAGATATTATTGCTGGTGGGCCAGTTCTGGCCTGCGGGCAGTCTATTGCCGACCACTGACATATGATATACGTCCATGAGTGTAGCTCTGTAGCTGAATTGTTTCAGTTGTTGGTCACGGGCAACTGAATTTATCAGGCTATATTTTTTTCTCCATGTGCAATATACAGTATGCCTAATATATACTGCCATTTGTTCCTTTTCAAGACCTGAGTTACAAACCCAACACTTTTATTTTCCATTATTTGACTACGTTATTAGTGGTTACAGCAATCTATTGCAAATCACATGTGGAATCTTCGTTAATACTATAATATTATCGTATACTTGTCACTGTTCATAGGTCCATACATTTCCTATTTGTCCTTTGTTATGTAGTGTGAAGACTCCATGTATACACAGTGTTTGGAAGGAAAGCAGTTGAACCAGAAGCACGTGACACTAACCAGACAACTGAACTGACAGTGTGGAAGATGACTACTACATTCCTTCAGGGTGAAAACATTAGTTACTTGACCTCTTGACATGTCATGAGGCAATGTAGGCAAACAAACAATATCCCTCACCTATCAATTTTTTGGAAAAGGAGAAAAGGTGGAGATGGCATAGATATGCCTCCTAGTGAAAATATATGATATATTTTGCTAAAAACACTACCATAGACTTCCTTTTGCTTAGTATGACATCAGTATTTCTGTTAACATAGGCAAAAGAAGGTACATTTTTTCCGGTTTGATCAGTTCAACAGGTTCAACTAAAGCTAAGGTTACAACTAAAAGTTTTGTTTTCTATTAATGAGGGTTTACTCCAACTGACTGACTGCCCAAAACCCCAAACCTATAAAAGGTTTAGAAGATCGTTTAATGACGTTACAGCACTTACATGAAGTTGGGAGAGATGTTTAGTCCCAAAACACTGGACCCCAATACAATAGTATCATTGCAGAACTGGTCGTGTGAGGGCTAAGAGTACTTGCAATGACAATGTAATAATATATTCACAAAATTTTCAAAGTTGATTAATCTTAGATTTATTTTCTTGATAACTGATTAATCTTTTGGTGTATGAAATGTTGTATTCACATTGGGTTGTGGACTGAAGATGTTCAAGATAGCCTACTATGACATAAGATGAAAAAAGCAGATCCTTATATTTGAGAAGCTGGAAAATGAGAATATTTAGTAAATGATTGATCAATTATGAACACGTTTGCTCATTAACAAAGCTAAACCACTAATAGACTAATAATGTCAGCTCTAATCAATTATTGAAATAAGTTGCTTCTTTTAAATTTGCGTTTTGTCACCATAATTTTCTCGCATTCATTACTTTCCACAACTTTTCACAGTTTTATATAATTCTGACACTGAATATCAAGGTTTATTATTATTTATTTATTTTATTTTATTTATATATTATTATTTATTACTATACAACACAAGGTTGTTCAATGAAATTAGAACATTATTGGCAGTTTTTGTGAAGGCGCCTTTCTAAATGTAACAGGTTACCGATTACAAGTTACTCT